GGGGGGGGGGGGGGGGCAGAAGAAACGTCATAGTTGTCCAAGAAGATTGATCGAAGTGCGCGGCTGGTAAGAAGAAGATCGGAAGACAATTTGCTAAAAGCACCGAAGAAAACTTGCCACTGAGGGTTTTGTCAAAGAGAAGGAAGAAGAAGAAAAAAGGGAGATAATGAAAAACCTCAATACTCGACGGTAATTGTTATACACGATGGTGACGAGAGAGAGAGAGAGAGAGAGAGAGAGAGAGAGGACTCGGACGTAATAAAGGTGTGAATGAGATGGGTGGAAAAATAACGTAAAGATTTCATCAAGGAAAAAGAAAGAAAATGACTGCAGTCTTGTCCACTCGGTGAAAGTTACTCGGAGAGACCGACAAAAAGGGATACGAAAACTTTTTGCGCTTTGACTATATTTTATTTTTAGGTGAAAAGCTACTTCCTTTGGGTTCCATGAAATGGGTGTAACAAACAGTTGAGAGACCATTATAGTAACGGTTGTTAATTAATCTCAATCTGGTACAAAGTTTGGGGTTCATCCGAGTGAAGTTAAGTAACGGTCACCGGGCACTCAAATACTCACAAATAATTCCGTTTGTAAAATTTTAACGTGTTTGTAAAAAAAAAAGAAAAAAAATACGTCCATTTCCTGTGAAACGAAAGATCGACGCTGGGCGTCTCGTAGCGTCGAATTACGTAGTTACGTCACGTGATATCTACGTGGGTTCTGCAAATGTGTACAAGCATAGAGACATATATCTCTTGGATTCGTAAATCTAGTGTCGAATGGGCTAGAATTTTCTGTTTGGCACTTTTCAGTGATTCCTGTGTTCATTGCTGTTAGTGGATGCTGCGGAAATTTCTACTCTTTTATTTTCTTCCGTTTTGTTTTATTCGACAGGGCAAATAAACGTCACTGATTTTTTTTTTTTTGCAAAATGAATTTCGCACAGGCGCCATGCTGATGCTTTTACAGGGGTGAATCTTGGGGATCAAGGAACATGCATTGCAATTGATTTTTTAAGCCGTCGTAAAGGGGGATGATAAGTGATTTAGGCCTACCACCCTCCTTCGATCCTACCCCAGCACTCTTATCAGCCAAAGATATCGCGACACTCATCCCCGCACTCGGTGCTTCTCAAGTAAATAAACAGCCCCTTCTCGTCGGCGGCTAACGGGTAACTTTTCATGTTTTACGTGAAAGCTCCAAAATCGAGGATACTTCAAGGTCACCGGCGGAAAAAATACAAAGTACAATTATCCGCAGGGAAAATACTGCTCATTCAAAAATAGGGGTTCCGATCGAAGTCATGTATAAATATTTAAAAAAAAAAAAAAAAGGAAAAAAATCGAAAATCAATAGGGGTGATTTATATATTTTTCTTATTTTCCCGTGAAACCAGGTATCATGCGTTTTCTATAACCTATGCTTATCAGATTTTACCCTCAAACGAGGGGTGGGTGTGACTTTGGGTACCGAAGGTCACAACAAAAAAAAAAGAAGGTCTGAGGTATCACCCTCTTAACGGTAATCAAGTTTGGATTAGCATAATTCGTTTTGCCGGCTCGTTTGTTTCCACCCTCCACACTGGCGACACTTGCATACCAGGCAGAAAACTTTACGAAAGGGGTGGCAAAGACATTTTTCATTTTTCTTTCGAGAATTAATCGCTCGGAAGATACCGCTAACGCGACGTCTTGAATCTCCTGGTGAAACGCGGATATACGAATAAGAGGGAGTAAGTCGCGATACGATGCTGAGGAAGAGGGAAAAAAAATTTTTTGTTAAATTAACAAGCGACCAAAAAATAATTTCATCTGCCAAAAAGTTTCGCGTAATTTTCAAAATTCGTCTTTCGTGAAAGATATAGGAAAAAAAAAAAAGTTAAAAGGATATTTGAAAAATTCTTCCATGATACAATCGCTTTCGTCACGCTTCATCGACACGTCGAAATACTTACTGAAAGCTCAAGTTCCCCTTCGTGCTTTCGCGCTCGAATGAAAAGTTTCAAATCCCCTTACGACCCACCCGCTAACCAACCCCTCTGTGCTTTTAGCAGATTGTTTCCTCATAAATGGCCGTCGCGCGCAGCGACGCTGACTTACGAAACAGTGAAAGAAAAGAAGAAAAAACTACTCGTTGAATATTTTATCAAAGATTTACCGGAAATCGGTATAGAGTGAACGTAGCAGCTGGAGAAATATTACGCCGTTAGAATTGCGCGACGACTAATACGA